CCCCAATCTGCAGTTTCTCTAATCAGGTCCCTTGAGCATGTTTACAGCCTGTTAGAGAAAATGCCCAGGGTCTGTGGCAGAATGAATGGCTGTAGTCAGCTCTTATCAGTCCAAAAGTTATGGCTGCGTAGTCCATATCTTTGGGTAAGCTTTCAAGTGGAGCGGAGTAGAGCTCGCTTTACACCCTGGGCTGTGTATCTGAACTGTGATCTTTTCCAAAACCTGAGTAGTTTTGTTGCTTAGACCTCCATGTATCAGACAATACAATAGAAATAGAGGTAGTCAGTGAGTGAAAGCACATTTAAAATCCATGCGTCAAACAAAATGTCTGTGTTGAAAGTCATGTGGCCTAAATCTTTTTTTTTTTTTGCATCGTTGTGGAAATTTGGGGATTTCTTGGGACTGTTATAAAAGCATACATCTTTTATAACTTTACCAAAATAAGAATTTGGTGCAAATGTTTGAATTTATTTTGGACTTTCTCTAATCCGCACTGTGTCAGAATTATACATGCATGCTCCAATATATAGATCAACCAACCCTATTAATATTAATGTAAATGTCCTTCAGCCAGTTGCACATCAACCAGGTGCTTTTCATAGCCAAGAACCGTCTTATGGCTGGATGTTTGAACCCTCTTCTTGGCTGAACTGGTAGAGAGTCATTCGTCTCAAATTCTGTAGAATTTTAGTTTTAAATATCACACATACTTTACATACTGACATTTTCAGTGGCCCTATCAAAATAAACCTGGATCTGTAATTTGGGACCGGTACATATATTTGTACAGACACTAGTAAAAAACTTGCAAAAGTGATAATTTCTGAATGGTGTATTACTGAATTTCCCAATGCAAAAACAGGTAATTTCTTTTCAACATAAAATTGTTAGCCACAAAAAAAAGAAAAAGCTACTTTTGTTTAACTTTTATCACTTTTCTTTTCAGCTCCTTGCAAAAGAAATTTATCCCAGTGAACTGTGTGTTTCTTCCCAGCAGAGAGAAGTCCAGTGTGGAGCACACAAACAAGAAAAGAACATTTTAGTAGCTACAACTTGATGCCTTCTGACAAAAAAGCAAACTTATTATTAAATCAGTCAAGGCTGTGTTTCTGTTTGTTTTATAATCCATTCTGGTCTAATTCAACCATCAGTCAAGGAAACCACATGTGTGAAACATTAAATCTTTTAAAGGCACCGTTTATGAAAGTAGTAGTACAGTAAAAATTACCGTTAATAAAATGGAACCCTCTTCAACATCCCTGGGAGATGTGTTTTGCTAAAAAGAGAAGAAAATAATACTGTTAAAGCACAAACACCTTGACCAGGGTTTAACACAAAGTGGACTCTCCACAAATGTTAAGAAATAGATAAATCACTTCTGTTGTTCTTATTACTGAAACTCATTAGCAAGTAAGATTATAATAAAGAATTAAGAATCAGTCACAAATAGCTGAGTTGAAAACATTTCAAAGTATATTAAAAATTATATTAAAAAAGAGATAATGTCCTA